TGGGTTAATGATTAGAGGTAACTGAGTTATTTATTTTGTTAAAGTTTCAGCTATTCTGTTTACAGTTCAGTCATCACATAATTTAATACGATTTGTTAAAACACTGTTGTTTCTTTTGAGGTGAAATATTATTTATTTTATTTAAATAAAAAGCAATGTTAATTTTGTTCACAATATGTTTAGTTCATTTACCTTTTTTTTCCAAAAGAACCGATAAGAGTACCGTTAAAGGACCGGATCGATAAGCGGTATCGATAAAAGTAGTAGTACCGTACATTTTTAGACGATATTTGATACTCTGATCTTTTCATTTATTTTCAGTTTGCTTCAAGCAGTGGCTGTGCGAGAAAGACGTGGAGGACCAATAAATGCTGGCCAGATTGGCAAAGACCGGAAGATACATAACAGAGAAGATAATGGATATTAACAAGAAAACTTTTTTTTTTTTTATTATATATGTTGCTTTTATTTTTAAATCAAATGCATCTATTTAGATTGTATATTTATTTAGATGTAGGTTTTTTTTGTAATATTATGGTATTGTTAATGTATAATTTATTAAATAAAAATACTGTTATGAACACTATACAATGTCTTTATTTTGATAGTTACCAGAATACATTATATATTTAATACTAACATAAGCGGGGAGGCGTGTGGTGCAGTGGGTTGAGCGTTGGTGATCAGATCAGGGAGTCACAGGTTCAAACCCCACTGCAGTCAGCATGTCGTTGTGTCCCTGAGACACTTCACCCCAAAGTGCTCCTGTGGGGATTGCCCACAGTATTGAGTATGTAAGTCGCTTTGGATAAAAGCGTCTAACAAGTGACATGTGATAATGTAATGTAATAAACTGGTGATAGATAGATACATCCCTGCGGAAAAAACCAGCATAGACCAGCATAGACCAGCATAGACCAGCATAGACCAGCATGGTGTTGACCATGTTGGAGGAAGAATACTGTGCAGTCCACAGGACTCTGTTTCTGATGTGAACTGAAGAAGAGCTTCACTCAAGCAGCATGTAGTATGACAATTCAAAAATAATGTTAGAATATATTTAAAAATTAATCCATTTTTATTTTGAAGTCAAACAACATACGAGCACAATACACACATAACATATAAATATAGCCTACTATTTTTGTATGACATTATGGTACAGTGACCTCATCTTGTTGAACATGGGCTAAAGTTCTCTTTCTCTAATAGCTTTTAAATACTTCTGTGACGTGTCAGAATGTATTTGTTATCTAATTTGTATAGTAGTTTCCCCCCCTTTATTTAAGAAAATATGTAGGATCAAACATTACACACCAAACACTGACATCAGGGGTGCACAGGTACATACACCGAATACCAAAAATAAATACAAAAATATAGAATTTTTTTTTAAGGAAAATCAAGAAAATAGTGATAAAAACTAATAATTTGTTTAGTAGTGTATAGTTGTTGATACCTTTGACTCGCAGGCAGCTGAGGCACTGTACCGTAGTGAGAGAATAGAGGCGCAGCCTGGATCTGAGCTCGGCTGCAGGGACTGTCTCTCCGGAGGGTTCTGGTTCCGGAGCCGCCGGGACCGAGTCACCGAAAGACGACAAACGTCCAGATCGGGCATTTGATAAAGCAGAAGGTAGAACCCAGAACCTCGGAGCTGGTGTACCGATGGACTCGACCGATTTCCGGGTCACGTGGTGGATGCATAATAAGCCAACCAAAGAACGTAATATAGCCTGCACCGACCGTATATGAAACAATACACGCGCACTGAAACCTAACCGAGGCTGGCCTTGGTTCGGATGACCGCAGTGGTGCTGCCTCCCTGAGCTCCATCAGCCGTGCAGGTGCCGAGCCGAGCGGCACACCGGGCCCAGCGGCTCTGAGAAGGGGGACACGGCATGCCAGAGCCGGGGGGATATCTCATGTGATCCGTTGTGTCAGGTTTGTTAAAGAGTGTGAGAGGGTCCGTGAATCCCCTTAGGGTGTCGATGTGCTCATGATGTAGGCCGATCCATCCTGCTGGAGGTGTGTGATCGATGATTGCTTGATATTGCTTTGTTTAAGGGCCGATATGATCGTTTGTGCTCAGGGATGTACAGTCTCGTGAGGATTGTACACAGAATGTGGGCCCGCTGCACCCTGTACTGACTGTTCTGACTGAACAGACTGTACTGAGACACAGCCTGACTGATCTGGTTCTGCTCTGATGGGCTCACACAGAGCTGCTTATATGCAGGAACACCTGTTCTGTAAAGCTGCTGCAGGTGAATGGGCTTTCATTGTCTGACATTAGCTTGCTTACTAACTCCAGGGTCCCACTGTAATCTTCATTGTTACACATCCTGACTGATGCTGTGGTAGATTGCACACACATCAATCTAGTGTATACAATAACCCGTCTTAAGGTTCTAAAGCAGTGCACTTCCTATGTTCATTAACATGAAATGAGCTGCTGCCATTATTTTAAAGCTGTAGATGATCACTTCATCCAGAGGGGGCTTTAGCAGAGCAGGAGGCTATGTGTGAAACTAAGATGCTGTGCAGCCCCATTCGTCAGGTTCCATGTCAGTGCACTGGGGTAAGACTGGCTAAAGGGCAGCTCCCCCTGTGAAGCAGATGTCCAGACCCCAGGCCGCATTACTAAAGGACATGCACTTATACTAACAAACTGTATTCTTAGAACAATAACACAATGTGCAATGATGTGGCTTTGATAGTACTTTGATCAGAGGAGGAGAGAAGTTATAGAGAGTACAAGTTAAAGCAACTGGTATCCAGAAAGATTACCAATTGCAAATATGAACAAAATAAAGAGATGATCATTTATTTAAAGACACTCCTCTCTGTCCCATATAATTAAAACCATGATAAGTGTACGGTAGTGACAATAGCTGGGGCACTATAATTAATAGCAAACTGAGTGTGTATCATAGGGAAGCTGAGCAGCTTAGATGTGGACGGATACCCTTATATAGTCGGCTCACAGTGCTAAAGGAGGCACAATGTTCATTGTCCTGCGCAGTACTCTGCTGCTTAACAACCTGCATGTCTTTGAATCCTGAACCTTTTCAAACGTCCACCCTGGTTTCCCATAATGATATTATTTTCATGTTTTACTGATACAAAACCTGACCTTAGTTTGCCCATTATATTCTTCTTGAAACAATCTTTTTAATGAACAAATAAGCCACATTTCTCAGAGCGTTGTTTTTCAACTAAAACAATAACAACGTTGACTAAATAAATAAAATGAATATGCAATCATTTATTATGTGTTGACAGTTAGTTCAAGTTAGCTGATCAGGTTATAGTTGGATTATTTTCTTCTTTATGAATCTTTATATTTCATCTGTTGGGTAGTTTGTTGTGCTTCTACATCATGTTGCTGTTTTCAGGCTATTGGACATGCAACTGTGTCTTAATCCTAACATATGAATGAAACATTGAATGTCTTATACAGAGCCAGTTAGGCTGTGCTTGTTTGAAGCATCATCCTTGTCATGAAACTCACCAGACAGAACATTGAATATTGAACAGAACATTTTTTGTTTCTGCAGATGAACTGTTGTATTTAACTTTTTTGCACTCTCATTTATTAAAAATATTTTTTAAACCTAACTTGACTCCTTTTTCCCAGGACAGAGCGTTGGAATTTAGAGTGAGTCGAGGTCAAGAAAAAGGCTTCGGTGTTCCATGTGCCCGTTAGCGTCTTCTTGTCAAGATGAGTACGGACAGACCCAAACGGAACATCATCAGAAAGAAATATGTAAGTGTAAGTGTAAAATGTCTTTCCTCTTTGTACACATTCCCTATAAAAAGAATGCTCCATCTTAACTAGCTAATGTAATCAGGATGTTCGAAAATCCCTTTCAAAAGAAAAAGATATATATAAACTGAAAATCTGAATTTTTTTTTTATAAAGATTGAACTAAATAAACAATCATAAAATGTACTGTCAACATTTAGAAGAAGAACCTAGGGCAGGGGTCGGCAAATAAATTTGGCCTCGGGCCAATTTTTTTCTGAGCCACTAGATGGCGGGTCGGAACATAATCAAAGGCTTATTTAAGTCATTGATTGTTAAAACATGTGACACGTTCCAATGCTTGGGGACAATCCCTCATGTCACTTGCACTCGGACATTAGGGATTTTCTCTCATAAATGTCCGATCAGCCAAAACTTTTCTTTCAAAACAAAGCTGCCAACTGAGGTGGCAGCATATGCACCACCACCCCTCGCCCTCCATGATCAAGCGGCTTCTCAGATTTTGTTGTCAATGTTTTGAATGAACTTTGTTATTGTTCACATAAGTAAAGATTACGTTTGAATGATTTAGTGAGCTGGTGTTATTTTTTATAACCGCATGTTGGCTATTTCAGCACCACGCGCTGTCCACCTACTTATTGATCCACTATCAGCGTCAGTGCACCCCGCTTCCAGATTGTGCCTGTGCTGTGTGTCATTCACTCTCAACATGGATAAAGTACAATAAGCATTCTTCAGGTGTAGGTAGATTCTCTATTCTATGTACGACTCTCGGTCCGATATTGTATAAAAAAAATCAAAATAATCTTTTATTTTTATTCTCAAAATAAATTTTCCCAGCCAAATATTATTGCTGGTGGGCCACCAATGCCCCACGGGCCGCCTATTGCCGACCCATGACCTAGAGCAGGGATGGGCAAATGGCGGCCCGGGGGCATGCGGTGGTGGGGGCCACATACATTATGTGGCCCCCACCACCATTCAAGTTGCCCATCCCTGACCTATTTTATGCATGTGTTCCGGTTTAACACAAACTACAACCAAAGGAACACATGCATGCACATGGTCTTGCATCACATGTGGTCTTGGATCTGCGTCAGTAGCCTACATGATGACTCCATGACATAAATATTCTTTGAATATTAGTTTCTCTATTTGATTTTACTTTTCCCCTTTTCCAAATGTATAACTTTACATTAGACTCATGACCCGGCCCTTTAACAGGCTTTAACATTCAGGCCCAGATTGAACACCATGGGTACACAGTTTGTTGGATTTTGTGTGGTTGTTTTTTTTTACAAAGGGGAGTGGTTTAGGTCCAGTAAATAACCTTATTGTTACCCAGAACCTGTTATCTCCCCTATCAAAATCTGAAAGCGAAGATGCAGCTTCTTCCATGTTTAAAAGCTTCAGAAAGTCCTCCAGACATTTATTTAAGTTGAATCAGTTGGGCTTTCTGACTTTCCAAATCCTGAGAATAATGCGTTTAGTTGAGGCATGCTAGAGCTATGAGTTGTAGGTGTAGGATTAATATTGCAGAGCAGCATGTTGATAACATGATACATAATATGGTGGATAAGGACAGGAACACGTCTGCATCTGCTTCCACAAAGATTTTGATTATTACATCCAGCATGCATCCTCTATCATTCTGGCAAGAAGAAGGTGTCTATTCTCTCTGATGCTTCTTGGACACAGTTACATAAACCTGTCTGATCTGGCCTAAAGGCGCAGTGTGGCTGAGCATAAAGTAAAGCTGGACTCATACTGAGTTTAAAGCTGATAACTCTATCGATACCTCTTTTAAAACTCTCATAATGAGCATATTGACATGCTGTTGTTTTCCATGTTCATCATCTTACTTTAACATAATGTAGTTAGCCATTGTAAGAACAGCTGATTTGTACTGTAAACTAACAATTATTCAGATTGAAATTGTAACCAATGAGTACATGAGTGCCCTCTAGTGGACAAACTATTGAATTGACGGGCTGTTTTTAAATAACATATCTTTGGCATTCCTGAGCAGCTATTTATAGTTATTTATCATAAAGTACAAACAGTCTACCCTCAAATGGAACTGTGTGTCGGTGTTGGTTTACAGATGAACAGCGCAGTGTGTAAGGCACACAGAAGCCCTCCCCAGTGATGCTGGTTATATTTGCAGGGATCGACTGCATAAATAAACTCTGTTCATACTGTAGTCCTTCACATTTCTGTTTTTATTCCAGTGAGATGTATTTATTTAGGATAAACCCCGTGAGATTAACCATTTCGTTTTTAAGGGGCTCCTAGAATGCCCTAAAAAAATGACAAATGACAAAAACAAAATTAAGTCACAAATAAAAGACAGACAAGGCTTCTACAATCACAACACAAACATTAGAGATTACAAATTCAAACATTCCCACAATATGGCCACAGAGAGATCATGAACAAATACATTTACCCATCAATAAAATAAATACAAAATCAGTGTTTTGCACTATATATCATCGATAGATAGATGATAGATAAAAGTTTAGACTACTCCCTCAAATGATATGTGGAGGACTGTGGTACTAATAACTGTTGTAGATTTTCAAATGGTTTTAAATGTGTACTTTCATTTTGGCATTTCCCTGTGGATAATCCATTTCAGTGTGTTCTGTTTTTAATAGTTGATGGTGTTTGTGTTTGTGACTTTCTGCAGGACATCAGTGACGGGATGCCGTGGTGTGAAGAACGTCTCGTCCGCAAAGTCCTCTTCCTGTCCCTCAGGGAATTCAGAGACACACACCGTGCCACACAAAAACACTCACACATACACACACGTGCACACAAGCACACAACAAAAAATACTCTCCTTCATGCTCAGCGAAAGACAAGGACACTGCCAAAAACCCACAAACAGCAAAACACACGCACAAGACAGAGTGTGCACACGCCACGACAAAGACCACCTATCACACACACACAGAAAAACACACAAAATATGCACATTTCAAAACCCCCTCATGGAGACTCCAACAAAGCGCAAAAAAATAACGTGTCTCAGGACTCATGCACACCAAGAAATAAATGTACGTCCACCCTACAGAACATGCAAACACAATCAGGGAGAATGACACACACTGTACAACCCAAACAAGATAATACACACACACTCCAGAGGAATGCTGCATCCACCAGGACACTACGCTCGCATAAAACACATAAAACACTGCCGCTGCTCAACTCAAAACACGCAGAAAGTGCAAAACACACACATGTTGCTCAGCACAAACACTCAGTGAAGAACACACAGACGCTGCTGAAGGCTGCTACCCCCCCGAGGACGCTGCGCTCACACCCCCCCACACGCCTCAGGGGTCAGTACGCTCTTCTTCTCTTCTATTAGTCACAGCTGTTCATTTAGTAGAAGCAAAGCCAATGTCAGAAACACTTCAAAGATTATTCCAGTTCATTACCCAGTTTGGTCCATCGGTAAGAGTGGCATGTGGAGGTCAGACTGAAGGTGAATGTTACCCAGAATCCGTGACTGAGCTGGAACGTTGCATGCCGGCTACAGTGATTACACTACGTCCAAGCTGAAGCAGGAAGTGTGCCTGGAATTTGTGATGGAGTTTTCTTTTCTAATTGTTCCTTTCACCTTCAGTTGGAAACCCTTGTCTTATTGTCTGAATGCTCGTTCTTACTGTATTCTGAGCAAATGTTCTGATTTATTTTAAGTGTCATTGAATTTCATATTTCCTGCCACACCAGACACATTCATTGTGTTTATAATAATCTCTGGAACTAAGAAAGAGCCTCATATAAGTTCTTCCTGTTGCCTTCAGGCTCCCTTGTTAATGGCAGCATCAGCGGCTGTCAGTCCCTGCTGTCGGCCCGCTGGAGCCTCTCTCTGCAGACGCAGCTCCGCCCGGCCGGCCTCCACCGCCACAGGGACGGCTCCTCCAGCAAGAAGTCAGCTGCAGGGTCATCATTGTGTGTTTTTGCATGTTCAGGTTCATGACAGAAAATGAATAGCAATACTATTTTTTCATGACAGAGGGTGCTACCTACTTTTGACATCCCTAAATCAGAACGTGAAATGTGTGAGGAGATTGATAGATTTGGAATTTGTTTAAAATGTAGTTCTTTCGTTTTTATGAAAAATATATTTTCAGTTGTACTTTGACCTAGAAAAAGAAGATATCCATTGTTTTGCGCAGTCTATACCCTACCTTGCAAATAAAAAGGGATTATTTAATTTGATATAGAAAGAATAGGGAAACAATAATTTGGTGATTTATGTCTGAAGAATAACAGAAATGTTTCAATTTTCTGTTATAATCTGTCTTTAATCTCATTTGTAATAATATATAGGGATACAATTTTATCGTGATCACATTGTATTTATTGGTGAGACAGGTTCATATGAGCAAACATTTTGTATACGTCTTTCACACCCTCAGTGTGTAGCCTCTGGGCTCTCTGCAGCTATAGATACATCAAATCTTACTTGGTATTGTAAATTAAATATACAGAGAGTGATTTCACCTCCTCGTTCTAGTTTTTTAGTGTTGTTCTGATTTGTCAGAGGAAATTAGCTTTAAGCTAACTCTGGTACAATACATAAAACGTGAATACTAATGTTTAATAATGTACATGGTCCCTTGTATACTCTGTGATTATGTTGAGCGTGGATAAGGGCCTGTCATAACAGTGTGCACTGGGGGGCCTATTAGAGCACAAGCCACTAAAATATTCACTTCTTAAGAGTTTAATAATCCTATTTTTGGACAAACTCAGAAACATGTCCACTTTTTTATAATCAAACCATTTCCCACCTTCTTTTTCCCTTTTAAAAATAATGGAATTGTTTGTATCGTGTTTACAAATTACCTCTTCTAGCAAGATAATTTCTTCTTCGAACCATTATTAATTCAGTTTCAACTCAAAAATGATATCTGTCATTCATATATTCATGGTTTTTATGCTGTTGTCCACTGTGTGTGTAGACCACGGCTGCAGGCGCAGAGGAAGTTTGCTCAGTCCCCTCCCAGCTCTCCAGGGCCGCCAGCAATGATGTCATCAGCACGAGGTAAGCACGGACACAACCTGGCGGTAGTCACCTGTCTGACGAGGAGGCGACCCAAGACCGAGGACTTCCTGTCCTTTCTCTGTCTGAGAGGTAAGCTAAAAGGAGAGGAAGTATGTTTTCAACCCTGCAGCACTAACCTGGTTCTTTTGGATTGTGGATTATTGCAGAAAATAAGCTCTGTGGCATAAAATGTCTATGATGCTGCACACTAAATTTTTTGAAGCGTAAATTCAATCCCAGATATTTTATCTTGTAAAACGTTTCTTCTAAGAATGACCGGATGTAGCTGGGTTCATGGTTTTGTCAATTGGCAGTCTTGCATCCTTTTAAAATTCTAGCACAATGAGGCAGGCAGTCTAGTGAGTGGATGAGTTATCCTTATTGTGAGGTATCCTGCTCACCCAGTTAAATAAGGACAGAAGGAGAAGAGGGTTTGTGGAAACCAACACTTGTTATTGATTCTGCTCAGGTATCTGGTCTACAGCTTTGTCACTCCCATCTCTTCAGCCAGCACCATAACCACACACCGCTGCAATATTCATATAATGGGGTATTTACTGATGTGCTTTATGTGGTAGAACCATTTAATAAAATACGTAAAAACATTTACTTTGAGACAAGGGAACATTAAGTGCAAAAACACTCACTCAGTCACTCGTGTGCTTTAGGACTCATTCCTGCAGCAACATAAAAACTATAGGTATATCGGTCTGAACTGATGTGTGGCTGTTAATGCCAGGAGCTCAGCTCCATGTTGTCATATGACATACTACCGTGTATACTGTGTTACTAATGCTGAACAAAGAGTTTGCAGTGTTTAAATTCATCTGCAATCCGTGGAGCCTTTCTCAGGGTTTGAAGATCTGGATCAGTTTTAGTGTTATCTGATATGCTTCCAAATCTAAGTGTAAAATCATGTGGCTGAAACCCTGGTTTTAAGAAGGAGAGTGTTTTGCTGAATAAGGGAAAAAAATAGTTGAGTATGTATTGAAGCAGACATACTGTATCTCCTCCAGCATCAATTAAGGCGTTTCCTCTTTTACTTCAGGTTCAGCAGCGTTGCCTAGCAACATGGCCTTCTTAGCGAGTGGACGAGCGAAGGAGCCAGCTGGCCCCCAACCAATCCCAACCAATCACAAGACTGCAGCGCAGGGGAATAACATGAGCCTCTTCAGCAGAACAACAGGTACTCCTCCTCTCAGCTGCCTGTATGCTGCTGTCGTTTCTGAAATACAGACATATCAGTCTCTGTACGTGTGGTTTTAAAGGTCAGTAACGTTTGATTTGAAGGAGTGTGCATAACCATGAGACGACACCCATCAAGCACATTAACACAAAGGAGTCTTCATGAAAGTTTATTACCATTGTCATCAATTAACTCCAGGCCCATTAAAAGTGACACCCTAACGAAATGACAAAAGTCATATTCATACATATAGACTCATTGTGTCATGAAAGATTCCATTTCTGACACACCAAGCCCATTTGGCCACGTTGTTGTGGTTTGTCCCGCACTCAGCATGTTTTCACGCTTCTGTAATCTTCTATAAACCGTTAACACAACACACCGACTCACAAATAGATTTGTATTCAAAATGATTGGACAAGATGAAGCTAAAAAATGATAAGAGATTCTGTGTATGCCCTCTTCACTTTCTTCGGATCCATCGTCTTCCTTTAAACTGAACAGCCAATCTGAGTTAATTATTTTGCTCACAGCTCCGCCATCCATTCTACATGTTGAATCTCTTTTCATTTTTCTACTTTATCTTTCAGAGTGGTGTGTACAGCGGTTGGCAAACACTGCTTTGTTTTAATGTGTGTATTGCTGTGTCAGGGCCATTATACACACAGCTTTGAATAAAATGGTAGGTTAAAGAATCCCATAAAATGCTTTATTCATATTTTTCTCTTTTGTCTTTGTGCCTCTGTGTGTGTGTTGCTGTCCCACAGTGCAGCGGGACTCTCGCTCTCTGAGGGGGGGGCCTGCCGGCTATGCAGCGGGGGGCTCCTTCTGCCCTCTGAGCGCCCGTGCACAGAGGAGGAGGGAGAGAGAGAGGAGGAGTAGAGAGGGGGGAGCTGAGAGACACCTGCTGAGACCCCGGCAGCTCCCCCTGCAGGTCAGGAGGACAGGCCAGGTCTGACCATCTTTCTACATGCTGCTCTGTCTAAAGCTGTCCTCATTGTTTCTCAGTCTGAAGGGACCTGGTCAAGTTTCCCAACAGACCCCAGTGTGGACTGGTACTTTGAGATGGGCCCGTTCACCTGACACACTGTCCCCCGAGCGCTGGGTATATAGTAGCTGACCTCTGCCTCTAATACTAGAACTGGTACAATGTGGAGTCTAAAGTTCACTGTATGTGATAGATGAAAAGTGTATTAGTTTGGAGAAAAAGAGAGCCATAGAAAAGTTCCTTTCTTCCATCAGGAGAGCTGGCCAATCCCAGTGTGATGGGCCAGCCTCCCATAAGACATGGCCGATCTGAAGAATAATACCAGCATCTCATGTCATGGCCACCTTTGAGTGTGCTGCTGTGTCACTGGCCTCACATCTGTTTTATGCTGATATCATTATATTCATGTCTTGACACAGCCATCATGCTCTCTTTTATCATGATCTCAATAAAAACATTTTGTCACGAATGATCATGATCAGTGGCGCCGTAAAGGGCTGAAAAGTTAGGACGATTCTAAGGGCACGGGACTGACAGGGGCCCACACAATTTTAGAACATTAAGAAAAAAATGTTTAAGTTACCAATGTGATTATCTTTTCATGGGGCCCAAAATCCCTGGCGACGCCCGAGTACACATCAATTATTTTGACTTTTTCTCTAACAAGATTACAAGGAAGGGGTAATTGAAAATGGCAGCTTACATGTGGAAGATTCAGCCAGATACTGAACCCAATGGTGTGTGACCTGTGTCTGTACACTTGACACTGAGGTGCTCCGGAGGTATTTTTGGATACAAGTATCAGCTAAATTTAAATGTTCTCTTTCTATTGCAGATTTCCATGGTGACTGGACTCTCTGATCAAAGAGCTTCCTGTGTCAGGTCAGTTCCCATCTTAAAGCCGAGCTCCGGGGGAGCCAGCAGACGCTCCCCCAGGCCCTCCCCCAGGCCTAGCAATACCTGTAAACCCAGACTCCAGGAAGCCAAAAACAAACACCTCACCCAGCGCAGCAAACACCAGCTGCCTCGTAACCACCGCCTTCCTCCACAACCCCGCACCACCCCAGACAAATCCAGAAACCCCAAGACCATCAGCAGTGTGCAGAACTCAGGAAGACATCCCAGCAGGACTCAAACCCCAGTGACTAATGGCTCAGCGATTAGAGCAATCACTGAGAACCCTGAGGTTCTGAGGTCATCCAGAAGAAGGAGAGGCCTCCCCCCCGACACCAGCCCCACCCCTCTGAACAACAAGAACTCAAAGAAGGCCAGGACAGTGCAGTGCAGCCATGCTGATGTCCCAGAGAAGAGGGAATGCCATGTTGGGGAGATCCCTCAGAGGGAGGCCAGCTGTGATGCAGATGTAAGAGAAGTGTCTGAAGGCCACATAAGTGAAATCACTGAAGACCTTCCACAGGACAAATGTGGCTGTGTTGGAGAGATGACAGTAGAGAGGGGTTGTGGTGTTGGTGAAGACAAACATGTTGAAAGTTTGTCCTCCGTCTCTTCTCAAGAAGAGGTCAACCTTTCTACCATGATCGCAAACTCTGAGCTAGGCCCCGTCAGTGAGGTCATCAGCAGACATGTGAGAGACAGAAGGCTCCAGAGAAATCAGACTGTCCCCAGACTAATGACCAGGACTGCTGATTCCAGGAGGAGGACTACTGCCATTAAAGTTGCTATGAACTCATTGACTTCTACAGACACACACAGTAATCCACCAGCCAGTGTTTTTGCCAAGCACACTGCTAAGGGCACTAACACATGTTCTAGCAAGGACATGACCAAGTGTACTTCACCATCCAGCAGATGCTCTCCAATCCTGAATTCCAAAGGTGCTGTAAAAGACCCTTCTAAGGGTACCACAGAGTACTCGACAGAGAACTGTTCAGCTGTCAGTAGTTATTCCAACACTTCCAGGAGCTCTGCAAAGGGCCCCACCCAGATCAAGTCTACTACCTCAGCCATTAAGACCAGAAGCAGCCCTAGAATCCTTCAGAGGCGCTAACAACACCTGATTAACTATATTAAGAAATTGATGATTAGCAAAATGTTTTTGGCTGCTTGGATAGTGATATGTGTACTGTTCACTACACATGTCAATAACTTTGGGATCATTTGTATTATTTAATGGTTTAGAAAGTGAAGGCTCATGAACACCTTCTGTTTCGCGCAGACAGGTCCGTAGGAGGAAATGTTCATAAGCGAGTGAAGACAGACTTCCCACACAGTCCTTTACTTGCATAGAACTTTATTTATAAAAACAATGTTCCAACCCAAGATCTACATGAGGTAAAGCTTAAAGGTGAGGTTTTACCTGATAATGATCTTATGACAAACACATTTCTCAATAAAGTAAATAGCAAGTTAAAGGACAGTGTGTTTCCAACACTTTTCACAGCCTAATGGCAGACAAGTTGTGTAAAGGCCCAGATACACCGGCCAGTCACCTGAGAAGTCGCCGACGCCGACACCGACTGTTGCGTCGCCGGACTCTCCTGCGTAATTGCCGACTTCGCGCACTGGAACACACCGCAAATCCGAGCCGAGCACGTATGAACTGCGTATGCGTGAGTGGCAATAACTCTCCTTACCAGCAGGTGGCGGTAGTGTGTATTCATCATTCAAAAGAGGCAACAACCGGAACAACCGGAAGAGAGAAGAAGAACAGACTTCGTGATATAAACAAACAACAAATAGCGTTTTTCTTTCCATTTTCACTCTCGTCCATTGAAAACATGAACGAACAGGAGCAGGAAGTAAATCATTAGTTTACCTCCCTTACTTCCGTTAACGCTTCTCATGCACTGATTCGCTAGCTGAACAGCCAATCAGTGTTATCCCTTTTGTCCGACTTCCGGTGGTGTTCCCGACGCCGATTCAACATGTTAGATCGGCAAGAAAAGGCGTCAGGTCGGCAGAAAAGACCCGATGGTGCGGCGCACACCACTCCGAATAGGGCGTGCCCACGCTCATGTTCGGCCCGACTCCCATTTACTGCCGATTTCGGGCCAGTGTATCTGGGCCTTTAGGGATTGATCAGTATGTCACCGGCAGTGGCTCAGTCAGTAGGGGCTTGGACTGGGAGCTGTAGGGTCACCAGTTCAAGTCCCTGACCAGACCTAAAATATGGAGTGTGGACTGCTACTTGGAGAGGTCCCAGTTCACCTCCTGCCCTGCCGTGGTGCCCTTGAGCAAGTCACCGGACACCCCCCTCACTCCCATTGCTCTCCGGGCGCTGTACAATAGCTGTACTCTGCTCCTAGTACTAGACTCCTGGTACTATGATGGGTTAAAAGCAGAGCGCACATGTCACTGTGTGTGCTGTGTGCTTTTCATGTGTGACCATTAAAGGGGGTTTCATCCCTCCTCCCAATTCTTCTCAGATACTGTATCTGAAATGGTACATGGAAAGGCACATAGTTAAAACTGGAGTGGGTCTGCTGTTTAGTTTGTCTGCCATTGCATTCAGAAAGGAATAATCCGTTTAGATTCTGAGGTGTCCTTTACTCTGGGGACATGCCCCCCCCCCCACATGGCATTCACACTATAAATGACTAGCCCACAAACATCATGAGTACTGATACTGGTTACGGTTTCAGGATGACATCAGGTGCTATAGGTGCTATTAGCTTCCCCATGAGCTATTTTGGGAGGTTGAGTAAAATAGAGTTCAGATGTTATACCTTTAATTAATTAATTAATGTGTCACTTGACCTCACAGTAAAGCCCCTGTGTGAAGGACCAACATATTACCATAGACTGTATATATAAAGCATATTACACCTGTTTGAGTGACTCCAAAATAAAAATAGTGATAGAATACACAGTGGGAGAGGCTTATCTTTCTGTTTTTCCAACATAAACTGGCCATCTAAGTCATTAAGTTGGACAACAATAACATGATATTCTTACACAGGGAAGTGTTTGTATGGGGTTCATATTTATTTTTTCCATATAATATGTTTTATCAGGTAAACTTAGTTTGCTTAAAAACATCATTCAGTTTCATGTTATAACCCCTCTCAGCTGTGGAACTTTTAAGAATTCATAAACTGACATTATGTATAATTGTCAGAATATGATTAAATACAAATGTACAGTAAACTGCGCTCATTATAACTGACTTTAAAGGACATGTATTAATAGATTTGTTGATGAAGTGAAAGCTCTTTATGTCAATGTGAAGCATTGCTCAAAGGTCCTACAGTATAACACTAGGGCATCAAAGGATAAAACTAATTCCATACTACATTTTTTTTTGCACACTAAAACAAACCATGTTTTTTGTAGTTACTAATTTATTTATAACTAAATTATGGAAATGCCTAATTCCAGACTGTTTGCTAATAACTGTTTTTAGTATCAGGAAATTTGTCCTGGTTGGTATTTTAAAAACTGTTTGTACCCTTTGTGAACTAATGGTTAATCATTATTACATAGTCAGCCATTCTAGCTATAGACAAAGTAGAAACACAACATCATTGCATCTACTTTCTGAAGCAGGTTCATCCTGTATGACTGTATGAGAATTCCCACTAACATTTTATGGATGCTCCAGTTTTTCATGTATTTTCTCTACAGCCTTGGAGCTTGCTCCTTTGACCGTTGGGAGAGCTCTCACACTTGGAGTCATGTCTTTGTTCCCGACCATGGATATTATTGATCTCATTCTAGTTAATGCAACATTTTGTTGAAGTTGTCAGTCAGTTGTTTATTGTGTATTCATGAAGTAAAATGAGCAAACTCTTACAGCCCCAAGGGATTAAGAACGTGAAAAACACCTGGATTTGTGCAACTACATCAAACTAACTGTATAAAGTATGTAAATGTGAATCATTTTAATGGAATTTGCAATAAATTCTTTTTGCATATTTATCAGGATTGATTCACCTTCCAAGGGATCTTCTCAGGACATCACAATTCCTTATTTAAAACCTACAATTCAACTGTTCTAATTCATGATTCAGATAATGTGTTTGGCTGATAAAAGCACATGTGATGTCATTCATTTTCAGTCAAAGTAAAATACCCCCTTTTCCAAAACTAGATAGTAAAACATTGCTTTTAGGTTATTGCCTTTTAGAAGAAATGTGTAAAACCATTACTGAAAACAGCAAGACTCTTACTTTTTTGTCAAAATGTTGAGCAGGTGTGTTCCTTTAAACGTGTCTTTACTCTCACTGTCTGACTCTGCACACCATATATCCTTTAAGATTATTTTTATTAGCTTAGAATGTATAATGTCCCTCATTACCTATTCACTACATGCTTATACAAACTCAATCACATGCTGGGTATGGTTACGTGCAACGCAGGTAACCTCTCAATCAGGAAACATATTTTTGTTGATTCATTTGTTTTATAATCAAATGGTAAAGTAATAATAATATGATGAGCTGAAAAGAAAGGATGCAGTTTGGCTGCAGTGGGTGTAATGATATGTGGATGTTTATGAAAATAAATCTTTGATAAATCGCTTCATTATAAATAACGTGGACTATAATTAAATTGTCTTACTAGTAGTGCACTAATCTACGGAGCCCCCTAGGGGACATGGAGAAGAAAGAAAAAAAAAATTTGAAAAAAAATAATAATAATCATGTTTTGCGAGATCTCGCAAAACCTTTGCGAGATCTCGCAATACTTTTGCGAGATCTCGCAAAACTTTGCATTTAGCTCAATGTACTTCCTGGTCATTTCGGCTGCTACGGCAACACAGAAACCACAACAATGGAGTGGTTCATCGATTTTACTTTGAGCTTGGCCTTAAATATAAAGATATAACATCAGTGCTTGGCAATAGGCACGGGTTTCACACATAGACTGTATATATAAAGGGTTTCACAAGAGAACACTCAGAGCGACGGGACATGCACGTCCCTCTGAGCTGAGTTATTGACCGATTCGAATTTCGCGGATCAATAACTCATGAACATAACGTTTTAAAAATACAAACAACATGACTTTACAATCAGAGCAAGGTAAACAATGAGCTACAGAGTCGTTTTTATCAGAACAGTTCGATACGCGCCGTCATCCGAGCATCAAGAATTGGTAAAAATCTGCAGCTAGAGGAGGGACCGTCTACAAACTGCAACGGGGTTTTGCGAGATATCGCAAAAGTATTGCGAGATCTCGCAAAGGGGTTTTGCGAGATT